GGGGGGGGGGGGGTGCATATTCGTATATTCGTGTTCTGCCCGACGGATTTCTTTTGAAAGCGATTGCTTTTACGATATGTGAACATAAATATAGCTACGGCCCTGCATGAGTATTTGACATGTCTTAATCTGATCAACAGATCATGTTACAGTATAACTGGCCTCGTGTTGATTGCCTGTGGTTCTTGAAACCGTCAAAATGCTCTTGACAATCACTGAAGTTTCACATATCAATAGACGATATTTTATCTGCAGCTGTTCATCCTTTTGCAGCAAATTGCTATGCTAAATGATATATAAATGAACACAATAGAATAAAATCATGCTAGACAGAAATAGGGATGAGCCAATCAAGAAAAATCAAATTTAATGATCCGATAAATCCCAATCTGATTTACCATCCGATTTATTGGCGGTTACCAATATTTGTTAACAAGAATTCCCAACACTCTAAATTGGGCAAAATGCTAGCAAAACATAACAAGAGTTAACAGATCAGTAACAGAAATGCCATTACGACAGTCGAGGATTGAATTTACTCAATTTAGTAATCAATTTATGTCGGAAATGTATACCGGTAAATGACCAATGGCGTAAATAAATGTGACAGTTTCTTTGGGGAAGAGAATCTGTCAGACAAACCACAGTTTTTTTTGACAAAGGAAAGGAAATATCACAAACAAAGGCCAGAATGATATTTATGGAACTGTTGATTGATACACACCAATATATCTCAATGTGATCGGCCAATTACCGATCTGCCTGAAAGTTGCAGATTGTCGGTTTCTACCGATTAATTTCCGATTATTGGCTCATCCCTAGACAGAAAGTAATCTTGTAACAATAATTCAGACATGAATCATTAGAACGACCAACAGCTTCTTGTATACAATAATGCAATGTATTGACTTTGATTGAATAGTAATTTACATGGTCAACATTCTGAAATTTCCATTGGTAAAAAATTAATCTAAGATTGAGTCCAGCCAATCTTCTAAGTTCTCTTTGGTGTCGCTGGCAGGCTGAGCTTTCTGAGCTGTTGGTACATCCACTTTGTTGGTACTGCCACTGGCCTGAATGTCCTGAAAAATAAAATATGATTTCGTAAATAAATAGATCAGGGGTACAACAAGCAGGACTACAAACACAGTCTTCTGGAAAGTATGTCACATTGGCTATAAAGAATTGTTTCCATGTACAGGACTAATGCTATATCCAAGTGTTTCATTCATGAAAAAGAGGCTCCTGACACCCAAGGTGACATACTTTCTGGAAGCGTGTATCAAGGTGACTTAAACAAGTTCAAAAACCAATCAGATTGGAAAAAACGCCATCCGAAAATGATGATGTAAACTGTATAAAATTTTTAACTGATTATAAATGGATCTATTTCCTAATGAACAAAATTTTGATCTAGACAAGTCTAGACAAAACTTTCATCACAGCTTGAAAGAGCATCACAAAATTAGTAATATTGCGAAGTTTCGTTGCGAAATGTTGTAAAATGCGGATAATATAGCTCTGCGAAATTTGCCGTTTTTCAGTCATTTTGTATCACGCACGGGAAATTGATACCGCTTTCTGAGAAAAGGTATCAATTTCCCGCGCGTAATACACAATGACTGAAAAACGGCAAAATTCGCAGGGCTATATTATCCGCATTTTACAACAATTCGCAACGAAACTTCGAAATATTACTAATTTTGTGATGCAATATTTTGTTCATTAGTAACTGCAGACTTGCATTTGGAAGTACAGATTGAACTTGTGTGCTTCCACCATCAAAATTCACCACGTTTGTTATTTTAAAAAGCAATTTTAACACGTGTTGGTTGCTTCGACACAAGCTAAACTAATTGATTCATTAAATTAATCAATTAGTTTAGCTTCTAATTAGATTAATTAATTAATTGATTATCTTTTCAGGCAGTTGTCTGAGCTTTCAATCGTTATTTTAAAATTAATAAAAAATAAAAAGAACCAGTTGATCCTCAATAAATTTACCTTGGCGACTGTCCTATCATTCTCCTTAGCAAAAAGAGACCAACTTTTGTGTTTCATATATGGGGAACTGTCGTTCCTTATTTCGTACTTTCCTTGGCAAAAGCAGGCGGACGATTATTTGTGTCTAATAATGCTTCTAAATAATAATAATGCTTATAAATAATAATTCAACATACCCGAGTTCCAGTTTGGTTTTCTGTTTGTGTCGAATTTAATTCTTTGTTGTCAAATCCTAACAATAACTCCAAGTTATCTTCCACGTCAGATTTTGTACTTTTGGCGTTGTGCTGTACTTTCTCTTGTGCGTTGCTTTCTAGTGGGTCTGTTGAATGATGCTGAATTTTACGTTCTGGAGATTTTATCTCGTGTACTACAGGATATTTGTCATTCTCGGTACTTGCTTTAGTAAGTTTACTAGGCTGTGAGAGACTAAAGTCCATATTGTTTGGTGACACATTTTGTCTTAATTTTCGACTGTTATTTTTTGTAGTTTCTTCATCATTTATATTCATCGCTAGTTTCTCCTGTTGGCTTCTGTTTGCAGTAGAATCACAATATTTGTCCTGGAAAACAATTTAAGTTTGCATTTAAATTTTCCTTCGGAAAATACTGTAATATGTACACACGTAAAAACGCACAAGTTGTTACAAGTCTGCAAACAAGTTGTTACAAATCTGTTCACAAGCTGTCGACAAGTTGTGTTCGCACTGCTTGTTCCCAGTTGTTGTAACAAGTTTGGAACAAGCTGTTAACAACTTGTAACAAGCGTGATGGCATTATCAGACTTGTTGCAAGGAGACTGATACAGACTGATACAGTCATGACACAGCAAGAATGTTACAAGGTTGATGACACAAGGTTGTAACAATATTGTTATATCATGACTGTATCGGACTTGTTGGAACAACCTTGCAACAAGTCTGATAATATCAACAAGGTTGTTACAAGTTTTTAACAGCTTGTTCCAAACTTGTTGACAACTTGGGACAAATTGCAGTGCGAACACAACTTGTTAGCAGACTTGCTACAAGATGTGAGATTTGTGCGTGTGCAGGTTTCACAAAGTGATCACAAGGCAGCTATCATACACAGAGTGGTAATTCTTTTCAGACTAAAAACTTTCGAAAATTTACTCACCTCAATTGAATATTTCTTGTCAATGTCAAGGCGTTTTTCCAGTGGAATATTCCGTAAAGATTGTGCTAATGCGTGACAATCAATGAACAATAAAGAAGGTTGACCATCCTAGTATGAGTAAAATTGTATAGAGTCTGAATAACCACAACTCTTGAAGGCTCTTCAATAAGCTGCCGTGCTCCGTGTCTGAACTGTGTAGGTATTCTACAATATGTAAACTGCCGTGGTTTGTGCCCAAACTACATGAAAAAGATATCTCAAACGCGGAGGTCCATTGTAGGTAGTATTCTACAATAAGCTGCCGTGGTTTGTGTGTGAACTACGTGCAAAATATATCTCAAACGTGGAGATTCAGTGTAGGTAGTATGAAACGCAAAAACTCCTTTTACAAATGCCAGAACTCCTTTTCAAATGGCAGAACTTGGTTTTCAAACGCCAGAACTCCTTTACAAATGCCAGAACTCCCTTTACAAATGCCAGAACTCCCTTTACAAATGCTGAAACTTGGTTTTCAAATGCCAGAACTCCGTTTTCAAACGCCAGAACTCCCTTTTCAAATGCCAGAACTTGGTTTTCAAATGCCAGAAGTACCTTTTCAAACGCCAGAACTCCCTTTTCAAATGCCAGAATTTGGTTTTCAAATGCTAGAAGTATACCTTTTCAAACGCCAGAACTCCCTTTACAAATGCTACAACTCCCTTTTCAGATGGCAGAACTTGGTTTTCAAACGCCAGAAATCCGTTCTCAAACTAGTATTCTACAATAATCTGCCGTGGTTTATGTCTGAACTAGTCTTGAAAAAGATTAAAAATGCTTCAAACTTTCATGTGAAAGCCTTCGTCTAGTAAGCACAAACTAGCCAGACTGGATCCCCAAGTCTCATTAATTATTATTAGCGTCGTATATACTGTACCTTGTTATTTGTTTCATCTGTAGTTAGATTCTCCCATTCCTTTTCACTTTTGAATCGGAAGTGAGAACTTCCACTGGCACTAGCTATACAAATAAAAGTCAAGTTGTACTTTTGTCAATAAGAAAGTACGATGAATCGTGTCTGAATTCGAACTACACACGTAAAAAGATGTGTTCATAACAGGCTTGTAGCAAGCTTGTCAACAAGTTGTAACAACGCTGTTATTTTATCGAGTTGCTACAAGGTTGTCACAAAGTTGTTACTCACAGCTTGCTGACAAGTTGTTGGAACAACTTGTACCAAGTCTGTTGAGCTCAACAACCTTGTAGCAAGTTGTCAACAAGCTGGGAACAAGCAGTGCGAACACATGCTATTGACAAGTTGTTGGAACAGCATTGTCACAAGTCTGCTGCAGGTTTGTTACAACTTGTGCGTTTTTACGTGTGTAGCTTGTCAACAAGATGTGTTCGCAACAGGCTTGTAGCAAGCTTGTCAACAAGTTGTAACGATGCTGTTATTTCATCAAGTTGCTACAAGGTTGTCACTCACAACTTGTTGACACGTTGTTGAATTGCAGGACGATAACAAGTTGTCATGGAACAACTTGTAACAAGTCTATTGAGCTCGACAACCTTGTAGTAACTTGTCAACAAACTGGTAACAAGCAGTGCGAACACATCCTGTTGAAAAGTTGTTGGAACAGCATTGTTACAAGTCTGCTGCAGGTTTGTTACAACTTGAGCGTTTTTACGCGTGTAGCTGAAAAATATTAAAAACATTTCGATTTCTGAGTGAAGGCTCTCCATCGAGAGGTAAGTAGCGTGTGGACACAGACCACAATATCTTATGGAAGAACATAGCAGCAGGTTTTTTTTTGGATTTGGGGGCGAGGAGTTGCACGAAGAACAGTACTCTTGTTTCTTACTTGCGTTATCAAGAAGGCTTTGAAAATCAGCTCCGATGGGAACGCTGCTTACAGCTGGTGAAGCATTACTTGGCTCACAATCATCATCTAAATAATTACAACAATAATCAATACTATCTATTACATCAAATGTATAGGTTCTTGAAGGTTCTCGAGTCGATCTTTTCCACTATATTCCAATAAATTTCATACCAAAATCGTCCTCCTTGTATCTATCCAAGTTACTTTCTATTTTTCGCCTTGAAAACTTTCCTCTTTCGTGACTCACGCTGCTTTCCACTACCTAAAAGTTGTTGTAGGAATGTCTTGTTTATTTCGACAAGTTGCAACGCCAAAGATTAGTTATTAAGGCTATTAAGATATGAAAAATGCCAAAAGTGGTACAGATTGCAGTTGATAAAGACGAATATATTCTCCCAACAGAGTTCGTGTTATCAATGGGTGATTCCATGCAGCGTATATAGACACAGCTGATTCCCCCTGTGATACACAGCTAGAAAGAGCGTCTTAGAATGAGTAGAACTGCAAAGTTTGGTTGCTAAATATTGTAAAATGAAGAAAATATAGCCCTCATGTGAAGTTCGCAAATTTTGTATATATTTATATTACGCGCTGTAAAAATAATCACTTTCCGCTGAAAAATGGTTATTTTTCCCGCGCGTAATGCAAATATATACAAAATTTACGAACTTCACAGGACTATATTTTCCTCATTTTACAACAATTCGCAACCAAACTTTGCAATTTTACTCATTTTAAGATGCTCTTTCCAGCTATGGTGATGGATTTCGTTCTTCTTGTCTAGATCAAAATTTCGTCTATAGCTGAAATCAATGAATCGTCCATTTATCTTGATCGATTTGGTGAAAATGGATCCCAAAATTGAAATCTTCATTGTCAAATTAGTCTATACAACAACTTTCAACTTGTTTGGACAGCAAGGTCGCGAGTTACGTTTTAAAAATTTAGTTTTTCTTATACATTACCTCGCGATCTAACTGTTCAACAACGTGAAATTTTCGGTGTGAACTTACTAATTTGAACATAAAAATTTCAATTCTGGGTTCATTTTTTGGCAAGAAGGAATGGGTGAATAAAATCTACGCCTTTCCCATTGCAAGGGATATTAAATCATAGACATAGTAAAGTGTTATTGTTGATACTTGCCAGCCTGTAAAGTTGCCAGATGAACATGGGCGTACCGGAAGGAAAAAATTAGGGGGGCGGAAAGAAAATTGCCCGACTTTTCGTAAAATTGCCCGACTTTTCGTGATTGTGCCCGACTAGTACCAAAATTTTTTTTCCGGAAAATGTTTTTTGGCGTCCCCCCCCCCCCCCGGGGCCAGAAAAATTTCGGTCAGTGTACCATATAAGGGGTCCAAAAAATTTTCCGGACATACCAAAATTTTTCGGAGGATAACATAAATTTTCCAAAAAAACACTACATTTGACACAAAATTACCTAAATTTTCGATAAAATTTACAGAATTTGTCCGATTTTTTTTTATAACAACCCAAAATTGCCCGACTGTTAATCGAATATTGCCCGACTGCCCAAAAAACTGGGGGGGG